CCAGAGGTCCCGCGGCCGGGCGGCGGCTGCTGCAGCCGCGAGGAGCTCAGAGCAGGCTCAGGTGGGGCTGAAATTGTTTTCAGAGGGTGAGGGGAAAATGCCCCCTGTCTCTGCGTGCCCATCTCGGAGCAGATTCCTGGCACGGGCTCTTGCCGGTGGTTCGGAGCTGGCTTTTCACGGCCAGTCTTTCCCAGAATAACTCGGGGTATATTGTGCATCCTCCAAGGCCACAGCTCCCCTGTCACCGAATTCACCCTTCCCATCAGTTGCGTCCATATTAGTGCCTCCCACAGTTCCTTGGTGGCTGTTTCCCGGCATTCCGGTCTGATGTTGGCGTTCCCACTGTGATGACGGCCTTGCAGCCTGGTGCCTCTGGCACCAACAACGACGTTTTCCATTTTGTTGCCATCCTGAAATGCGGTCCTCATCTTTGTTTGCTATGCCCACTGCCCTTCTGCATTTGCGTCCATCCCAGAGACTCACTTTTCGTTAGAAGGTAGATACAATATGTGTGTTAAATGTGTTTGGTACTAATCCTGAAGCTTCTCGGTGCGTGCCCTTGTGTGCCAGGTAGTCGTTGCTGTCAGATGTATTGCAGCTTCACCTGCCGTGGGATAGGGGCTTCCAGATGTTCTTCAGTCCTAAACCTGAAAAGTTACTGGATCAAGACTCAAAACCAGGCTGGGAGGTGTATGACTCAAAGTCAAAGAGACAGAGACAGTGGTGAACATGCGTGTATGGTGTTTGTTGTTGGCTTTCATATACGATTATGGATGAAGAGAGAAATAGGTTAGTGTGAGTGAAGGAGGAGGAAAGGCAATGGGATACGAAAAGTACAGAAAGCAATGAACGTATGCATTTGGGGGACATCAGAAATAAAATATCTAGAGCTGGTATTTTAGTTAGTTTGTTAAGCACTCGGGCGGTGTTGGTAACAGGGGCCTCAGCACTCCTCATGCCCATTGGAAGTGTTCATCGCCCAAGGGGGGGCTTTGCTGAGGAAGGAGGAAAAGGCACGACAAATTATATTGCTTTTTAGATTGATTTCATAAATGGGTCGAGGAAGAGCACAGCAGTTCAGAGACCTCTAAGAGTAGTGTGTGATATTAGACTTTGTGTATGGGGATGATTCTCCACTCATTTACACTACACCACCTGTGGAATGGCATCGTATGTGTTTTGTCTCTCTTGTGCTGGTGTCTTGAATACCAGAGCACTGCTGTTACTGCAGGTGTGATTTTGCCAGGAGATGTATTGCTTAAGAATATTGCACAAGGCATGTATGTTTTCTGCTGTGCGAAGTGTCACAGATTGAAGGTTTTATAGCTGTTGGATCCTTCAATCTGGAGATGACGCGCCATGATAATCGCTGAAGAATTTGGGAGTAAGGCAATGGATAATAGCTTAGTCCTAAGGGCAGTTGATAGGGAGATGACAAATAGATTGGGAGCTCTATGTGAGTGTGTGTATACGTGCCTAGAGTGTGACAAGATGAACGTAACCGTCAGAAAATAGCGGCTACTTAAAATACAAACTTCACTGCATCATAAAACCAAATGTTAAGAAATTACGATTTTTTTTCCACTTTGCAATAGTGTTCAGAGATCTTAACACTGCGGACACTGACTAAACACCCTTTGAGACAGTCTCCTCCCTGAAGAGCTTGAGCCATATTTAGCCCTCTGTTACCAGTGTAAACCTTGGATAACGTCACTGCCTTTTACTATGGATGTGCACTGATGTAATGGGATAGAATCTGGCCCCTGGTCGTTATGGTAAGGGATTATGGCAGTATTCATTATCAGTTCAATATTCAGCAACATTTAGAGGGGGCATCAAACTTCTTAGCATCACTTGCTTCCATCTGTGTCAGGATGTAGTCTGGTTTTTTACTGAGATACGACAATAAACTTGTTTGCACATCTTGGAATGTTCACAAAACCAGGTAATTTGTCATGTAAAACTTCCTTAGCAAGCGAAATGGAACAGATTTTTTTCACTTTATGGCACTTGGAACAAAACACAGTAATCGGTTTTTGGACTAATGCTGGTAAAAGATTCATCATAGTACTTTCTTGTCTTCATTGTGTGGGAAAATAAAGAACTGTAAACATAATACATTCTTTGAAGCTGGTTCTAGTCAACCAGAATTGAAAATTTTTGGAGGAAAAGACTAAAGGCAAATAAGGGGGACACTAATTCTTTGTATTCTATCCCCGACACTAGAAAACTTATGATGGTGGACTTTCATTATCTTTGTCTTCCAGTTTAACATATTACATGTGGTGTATAATTTTCTAACAAAAGTGGAATCCTGACTTTCTATGAGTTTGTTGAAGCAACAGCCTCCTGAGTTGGCTGGCTGTTTTTTCCAGGCGTTCCTGTGCTTGAGTAATGATGTTGCATTCTCAGGGTTTATGCCTTCATATGCACCTGTATGTCTGTCCTCTGCAAATAAACGCACTGTAAATTTTCACAAATTAGGCCAGTACCTGCTGCAGGGGACGTTTCCTGGTTGGCTTTGTCTTGCCCCACCCCATAAAAAACTTTTGTCACTGCTGCCTACGTATTTCTGTGTGAAACTGCAGGTACATTTGTCTTCACTGTGTTTTCCTACTGCTCTTGGCAAGTCATTGAAGCAAAGAAAGAGAGGGGGGAAAAAAAGAGAATTCCAGGAAAGAAAAGGAAGATGGGGAAGATGTATAGTACAGAATTTAGCAAGAAGGTTCCTATAGGTAAGGTTGAACAATTAATTGGTGGGAGTTGTTTCTTGCTTGAAGGATCAAATTCCGAAGCCCAAAATATTGTGAGAGGATCAAGTAGCTGTCAAAGGTTATACAGCTTTTAAAGTCCCAGATTAACAGTAAATAACCTTAGTTTGTGAAGACAAACTGGAGGCATAGTGTATTCTCACTCTGCCACAAACAGAGGTAAGTTGCAGAAAGCATGCCGAGACCAGCAATAGCATTAGGGGTAGCTGGTGGCAATGTGTGTGCTGTGAGGCACGGGGCTGCTCTGGTGCACCCTGAAGTTCTGATCATCCGCTCCTCAGATCGGAGGGACCTGTTGGACCTTGTCCACACATGTGTATTTTCTTCCAGAAAAAGCCCAGGACGCATGGGATGATGAGATGGGTGAAGGGAATATGGGCAGATATATATGGAAGGGTAAGGGCAAATCCATAAGGCCCTACTCTCCTTTCTGGATGACTGGAAAACCAGGACTACTGTGTATGTTGCAGAGAGCTCCTCAGCCTCTGTGTAGATGTAACTTTTAAGTAACCATCTGCGTATCTTGTACCACAATACCATGTTAAAGATACATATTGAAAAGGAAGAATGAATAATGAGTCATATACTTAGATCCAACTTTCACCTTTCTCCTCAAAAACAAGTCTTCTGTAGTGGCCAGTTGTGTGTAAGATTCCTGTTATCATGATGACAAGCTTCTGTCATGTGAAAATATTTCTCTGAACTGGAGGAGGAGGCAGCACTTTGGTTTTATGTTTTGGGTTTATGGTGTGATGAGTTAGTACCTTGTATTTTTCTGTCTTAATGGTGTTCTCTTGGTTTCAGAGCAGGACTCCTCTGCTGTCACCTGCTCAGAAGGAAAGGGTCTACATGAGTGCTTTTCCACCATTTATTACATTTGGAGTTAAACCATTGGTAACAGTAGTGAGAAACTGCAGGGAAAAGTCCTGGTCTAGTCAGTTCTATCGTATTTTATCATACTGGGGGTTGGACTAGATGACCTGTAGAGGTCCCTTCCAATTCAAACCGTTCTATGATTCTGTATTTTGACTGTGCTGCTTTCTGATTTGCTTAGGGTGAGATCAAGAATTATCCAAAGTCTCGTGGTTTCTGGGGTGATCTTTGTCACTGAGAAGAATAAAAGATCGTTTAAAGGGACTGAAATGAACAGTCGTCCTTGGCATGACAGTGCATTAATTGAAGTGCTGGGCAGTGCTCTTGTAGAAAATTAATGTGATATTTTACAGTGTTGTAAAAATTTTAGATTGCAAACGAGAAAAAGACATCTCAGTGTATCAACTATTTTATAATAATTTGTTTGTTTGTTTGTATTCTAGTCAGGGCAGTTCACAGAAGATATGATTCCTACAGTAGGCTTCAATATGAGAAAAATAACAAAAGGAAATGTTACCATAAAGGTAGGTGTGCATGCTTGAATTAATACAGAATGAGTAACTAGTAGACAAAGTGCTTTCAACTTGGAATGTGAAAGCACAGGAAATTTCTTTTAAGATGATAGGATCATTTATCTGTTTTTCTAGCTCAAAAATAACTTTTTAAAAGCATATAGCCATACATGCTTTATTTTTTATTTGATTTCATGATATCTGTGCTGGGTGGAAGCTCTGTTGCACCTTTTGGGTTATAAAGGTCATAAAATTCCGAGATGTTAAGGGAGCTGAGTTGGCTCCTTGAGTTGCCTCTCTCTTCTCCTTCCCTCTGTCTCACAACTAAGTCACATCTGCAGCAATTTCACTCTTAACTTGTGCATCTCAGTGGAGAGCACTGTTTAGCTCACACAGCGAGCTGTATGGGAAATAGAACATCTAATCTAAGTCAGTTGTCAGGGAACCAGCTCTTAGGCCTAGAGAGAAATATGGATACCAGTTTGGTTGTGATCATGCCATAAACATTAAAATAGGGATAAATCACTCCAGTAGAATTAAGGCTGTCTTTTGTTTGATTAGGAAGGGAGCCTGCTTGATTAGTCTAGACTGAATTCGTAACTTCTATCTAAAATTAGGTGAATGGAATGTAGGATTTTGCCTTTACCTTAACTTTTCATTCATTTCTTCTCCTTTCTCCCTTAGTTCTAAAGATACTCTTTTTCCTTTGGTTTGGTGTGACTCCTAAACTTAGGGAGGATTTTCTGAATAACCTGTAATGTGACTATAAGCACTTGTTAACTGTGTACCCACTTGCTCTAAACAGTGAGCAGCTAAAGGGTGGTAAAAGGGATAATTGATGTCTGTTGGTTGGGAGATGTTAAAGCTGAGCTAAACCCACCTGATCCTAACGCTGTGACTGCCTGTCCATTTCTGGTCTTACTATCTTGAAATACTTTTTCCAGATTTCAGGACCATAGGGCTTTCAGCTGTACCTTTCACTTGTGTATCTACTTCTCCGTTACAAGCTTGCAGAATGCTCAATAGGTTCCTCTACAACTGCTTGTATGTTACAGTGCTTAATAAGCCAGTCTTTCTAAATCTGTTGAAATGGAAAGTCAAATGTTACCCAACTGTTTCCTCTCATCACCCCAACTCTCCTTCCCGTAGACCCTCTTGAAATTCATGTCAGGTTTGGCTGAAATAAAAACTCTTAGCATTACCCATAAGTCTGTCTGATTTTAATTTTCCAGGAAATTCATATTTCCCCAGTGAGTATCTTAAAACTAGGTCTACGGAAAAGACTGTAAAAGGCTTAAAAGGAAAAAGGAGTAAAATGTAGTAAAAGTGAAGTGGAGGAGAATCACTATTGCCATGGTAACGTCAACTTCGTGACTTTGTGCCTGATCATTATGATAAGTACATGATTAGACCCTACTTTGAGTGAGTGTCTGGCTTCACTCTTATCACAGAGCAGGTGAGCAAGAAGACAAAGCAGCATCACACAAGCATTTTTATTTCACACATTTCCGGAAAGGTAAATGATTGACAGAAGCTTAAACTTTTTTTTAGTGTGATGGGGTGTGTATGTTTGAGTTATAAAACCCCCAAATTGTCACATGATGAGCACTACAGTACTCAGTGCGATGTGGCCAAACTCTTTGAAGTAAATGTGGCCTTCCAGGACACACAAATTTCAGTAGAGAATTTTTTCAATAGGGAATGCCTTTCTGAATGCCTGAACAACCAGTTTTTGTGTGATAGTATGAGAAAATGTCCAATTTAATGGTTTAAAAAAAATACAAATTATTACAGCTTTATTATATTTTTTTAATTGAAATATATTGTAGCAAGAAAAGCACCTACTGAAAGAGTTACAGGGCTGAAACCTCTGAAATTTTGGGAGGAGAACACCCTCACTGCATATAAAATGGAAGCAGAAAGAATTTTGGTCTTGATTTCTTACTTTTTATAAATTCTTCAGGGATGAGTTGAGCTGATTGAATCCCTAGCGCCTACAAATGTGAGTGTGCCATGGCTCTTATTTTAGAGTTTATTCTCAAAGATCAAAATTTTCAGTGTTGTTTTCATGGAGTTCACTGTTAGTAGTGTGTCTAGCAAAACCCTTATATTCACGTGCTGCTGCCTAGGCTAAGGTGAATACGTAGGAACTAATGGCATCCTGGTAATGAAATCCAGTTAAACTTTGGAGTTTGTTTGCTGGAACAGGTAGTCAAGACTAGCATTACACAGGGGGCAGCTCCCTGGAAATACAGAGGAGTTTGTATGGCAGTATGGGTAAGCAACATCAGTTGGACTTTATCTGGGGAAAACGTAGGTGACCAGAATGAGAAGCCTGTCACCACTAATTCTTGCAGCCAACCCTGTATGCAGAGTTTATTTTGGAGACCCAGGAGTCAGAGACAGTGAAAGGTAACTGAACTGGTCTTTCAGCAGACAGAAGTAGTGCTCAAGGTGCACGTTCTGCTGACTAACAGCTATGCTATTTCATGATGCTTTCTGTTAGTTCTTATGAATGCTATGTTTGAAACCGGTGGCAAAGCACAGAATTTCATCGATGATGTGGTTTAACTTCTGGTCTTGGCCCTTCTTCACCTCTGTTCCTTCTATATACAAGATCATCCAAGCTATGCCTGTCTCTGCTGGTTCATTTCTCTGTGGCCAGCTCTGCTTGTGGTAGTGTGTACGCTATATGTCAGGTAAGGCTGGTAAGGGGAAGTTTCAGTTTATGGGAACATCTGCCATGATTGCAGTAGGGCAGTATTCATGTTGCGTAACAAGAAGGTGTATGAATCGGCAGACAGATGTTTCCTGTCTTTTCTGGCTATGGAGTTTTTCTTCCAACTCTCCTTGTGCCTGTTAGCTTCTCCTCATCAAACGTGTTCCCCTCTTCCACTGTCTGGTTCTTCGTGCCTCATCTCTTTGCATATACACACAAAGGCCAAATGCCTTATTCCTCAAAATACTGCTCCTGTACCTTAAAGAGGAAGCAATGTCCTTGCCTAGTCCAGGAATGAGTTTGTGAGTGAATGAGAAAACATAAAGTTCTTGTCTTAAGTCCCTCTGTTGAATGTGTCTTAACAGCCATCCACATGCTGCTCAGCAAAGAGCTGAACTCTGCTATACAAAGAACATACTTCAGCCTAACAGTAACTTGGTACATTCCTGTTTATCTTCTCCCAAAAGAGTACCACGTTAACCAAAACCAGAAATTCTGAATATTTTTTCCTTAGAAGTCCAAATTCTGCTTTCCAAACAGAATCTTTTTTGTAAAGGGAAATAAAACCAGCCCCACTCATGCTAGAGGCGAAACCTAAGAGGGAGTCAAGGCCAGCCTAGCGAGGGGGGCAGAGATTAAAGTTCAGCTTTTCCAATCAGCTTAAATAGATCACGGTGTGAGGTTTCTGCTTTAAGCTTGGGCGCGCAGCCTTGCACCCCTTTTCCATCAGCACCAGTGAGCACATGGCAAAGCCATAGTCAGATCAGCCAACTGATGGAGATGAAAGTATCCCCTAAAAAAAACACCAACCAACCAAACCAAACCTGCCCCCATGCTAGAGTCTCCCCAGTCAAATTATTTAAGTAGTGTGCTCCCCAGATAGCTGTGGGATTGCTGGTGCCACCACATTGCGGGAAAGCAGGATACAGACACAGGCAAAACTGCATTTTGGGGGCAGCCTGGGTGAATTGACTTAGCTGCAAAATGCCAAATTTACAGCACAGAATCTGAACAGGAGGAAAGCATTTGGTGAGAAAAGTTTTCCTTCACCCTTTCACCCTGGTAGCTACAAATGTTTAAGCACAACGAGCACAGCCTGTTGCTAGGGGGCTGCCAGAATTACGTGTTCAGAAGCACACATAGGCTGATTGTGGATTCAAGAGGATCAGTGACAATATTTAAAAAATATAAATGCTTAGTGCTTTATTGTTAGGATTTAGGAGTCTTGGATATTAAGTTTTCTAGTCCTTATGATTGACTCATTATTCATATTACGTGAGAGAATTTATGAAGTCAGTGGGCAGTGGTATCAAAAGAACAGTCTGATTGATGTGTTAATTGTATAGATTTTCTCCCCCAAGATTCTGTTTATTTTACACAAATGTACATGCAGGTTAGCTATGACAGCAAATCAAATAGTGTATTTACAACAGCAGCATCAGAAGTACTGCCTTACAAGTGTAAATGCATCCTGAGGCTATCCCATGCTTTCTTGACCCCTTGTATATCAATGGCAGATGTGTAGGAGAGTGGAAGCAGTGACAAAATTGTGGTTAGCATTGTGATACGAAGCATCAAATGCAGACTCAGAAGGAAAAGCTGTTTGTTTGTTTGTTTAAGTGGTCAAACTGTTTCAAGTTTTCACTTATTCAGAGGTATTTTTTCTGACTCTTTTTTCAGGTATGCAGGCCTCCTGCCTGAGCCTTTCCTTCTCTTTCAGATGATTACATTTGTACTGAAGCAGTACCTTCCACTTGAGCTTTAGCAATGCTCAGTTCATCCAGGAGAGGATTCTGTTGTGATTATTCCTAAACGTCAGTTTCATACATTTTTCATTGTATCTACCTTACTTTGCCACTGATCAAAGAAGTCCACAGATGCCACAGTCAATAAAAAGTTACCACATTCAACCATAGTTTATAAATAATTCACAGGAATAGGAATTTCCTTTCAGTTCCCTTGTTTTCTGTCTTTTGCGTAGAAACAATAAGGCCATGATTTAGTGTTTATGTAGAGAAAGCATAAGGATAGTTGGATTCAGCACAGTTGGATCAGCACAGCCAATTCTGTGGCTGTGCTGATGCTGCCACAGAATTGTCAGACTTGGAATAAAATGAGAAAGCTGTCAATGATTCATTCAACTAGACAATCAAAAGTCATTTACAAATAGTCTTCAAAATAAAGAGATTTTTTTTTTTTGAGCCAGAATAGTTAAAGTACATGAAGAAAATTACTAATAAATTTGTACTGGAGTTGTCTGCACAGATGATATTGCAAGGTTGAGTTCATGCAG